GGAGCTGGTTCCTGTCCTGGATGCTCCACTTCCAATCCAGCTCCCTGCTAATGGCCTGGAAAAGCAGTGGAGGATCCAAGTGCATGGGCTCCTACAGCTATGTGGGACACCCAGAAGAAGCTTCTGGCTCCAGACTTTGGCCTAGCCCAGCCTTGGCCATTTTGTGATCATCTTGGGAGTGAACCACCTGGTGGGAGATGGATCCTTCTCTTTCCTCCCTCCTCTCCCCATTCTCCTTCTCCCCTCCCCCCAACTCATTCAAATAAATAAATAAATCTTTAAAAAAAAGAGAAAGATGACACTTAAAGATCATTCAATTATCTTAATTCCAGATCTCCCTAACATTCTAATCAATTCCTTAATGTTAACATTCAGCTCTTCAAATGTGGACTTTTTCCTTCTAGAAAGCAACATAGGTGGCTACTGAATTCTGACACAGTTTACAGTTAATGAGGCAATACAAGTATCTGCTATCAGAAGATTCACTTGTAGATTCGTCATTAGTTATTAATCTCATAGTTTTCAAGTAAATACATAAAAAAGATCATCTGAACTTATGTACAAGATGTAGAACTTAAAAGAACACTGCGCTGATTATATCATGCTCAACTATCGAAAACAAATAGCACCTTCAATCCCAAACTGGTTTGAGCGACTCTTCAGTCAAACCATCAGATAGAGTTTTTACTGCCCAGCTGAGCTCCTTAGAAAAAACACTTCAAAGTAACACTAAGTATGGTCCCAGAACAGCTTCAACTTGACAGGACAAAAACACATATAAGAACCAAAACTCATGTAACAGGTTTAAAGCTAAAGAATAAAAGCCTGGGGCTGGTTCTGTGGCACAGTATGTTAAGCATCTGCCTGTGGTTCTAGCATCCCATATGGGATCCAGTTCGAGTCCCAGCTGCTCCTTTTCAGATTCAGCTCTCTGCTATGGCCCGGGAAAGTAGTAGAGGATGGCCCGAATGCTTGGGCCCCTGCACTCATGTGGTAGACTCGGAAGAGACTCCTGGTTCCTGGCTTCAGATCAGCTCAGCTCTAGCCATTGCAGACATCTGGGGCGTGAACCAGCGGATGGAAGAACTCTGTCTCTCCTTTTCCCTGTCTATAACTATGCCTCTCAAGTAAACAAATCTCTAAAAAAAAAATAAATAAAATAAAAACCTTCAAAGAATTTACAAGATTGTCTTTCCACAAGCTCTCTGGTGCCCAATCCAGAGGGTAGGACTGTTACTTATATATTCAGTTAAAATAAAAAAAGACAAATTTTAATAATAACCCATGGCTTCTTTAAAGTTGAATCCTTATTCTCTCCTTTAAATCTAGGACCCTTTTCTCTTCCCAGGGACAAAAGCAGTGATGGACAGGGTGCTTAAAAATAGTTTTTGTCACCTCTTCCAACTCATAACTAAGAATTCATAACTATATTAACAATTCATAACCATGGCTTTCCCTTATTCAAATTTCCTTATAATTAAATTTTTCAAAGTGACTTCCATTATACTCCCATTTTCCAAACTCATCATTTCCCCCTCATTTTCTTCATAACTACAGAAAATTCTTAATTCTAAAATGAAAAGAAGTCTTAGCATCCGTAATTCAAAGTTATTTCTATCTAACTTAATATGCATTTTATGGACAATGAACTAAAATCCCTTTTTAAATTCAAGGTAAGCATGAAATGTGTTTATAACCCCTTAACACACGTTAGCTGATAAGTCACAGAGTGGACCTTGACATTTGATTGTGGGAATAGTGCGTTGGAAGCAATTCAGTTTAGTAGTAAATAATCTAAGTTCATAATGTGCAAATAGTTAAAAGGTGGCCAGAAATGCATATATTTTACTTTATTTTATAGTCTAGGCTCAATTTTCCTTGTCATTAAGAGAACAAGGTATTGAACAAATGTGAACTCTTCAAAATCATTTGCTTTTAAATGTGCAGAAATTGGCATCATACTATCCATGAATTCAATCTAAATGAAGAAGTCTATGAAGTTATTGCTGAGGTCAGGAAAGGTGACCAATGTCCACTAACCACATTCCTTGAAACCTTCCCAAGAGAGTTCATTTTCAAAAGTAAACCTTGACAAAATCCAGACTATATTCAAAAAGTAAACCCAGACAATAAAATACTTTAAAATCGTATAACTACTGTTAATGAATTTTAGAGCACTAATTACTTTATGGGCAATGGTGTTCCTGAAAATAAGCTACTTTTTCTTTATCCTTATTTTTTAATATTTTTTCCTGACAGGCAGCTGTCAACTTCTGATACACGATTCTACTTACTGTTATTTCCCTTCCTCAACAGATAAAGCAAGTATAGCTCAAAGAAACTAGATAACTTTGCCAAGATCACACAGCTTGAAAGAAGAAGCTAAATCTCAATTCCCAATAGTTAGCTCCAGAGCCCATGCTCTAACCCACAAGAATGTGTCATAAAAGAAAATTAAAACTTGTCATGCAACTCTACCTTACTACAAGAATAATCATTTTTCAGTATTATAAGCCTTGTTCTGTTACCAAGTAATGCACCTCTTCTGTGCCCATCTTCCAGTCCAGGGATATCCAGCTTTGAAGCTTTGTGACCTATTTTCCATATTCCCAACCTTTCAAACTCTGATGAGATACTGGATTGGGATTAGAAATTCTGGAAGACCACACAAAGCAACTACATATGCCTCAATAGATTCTTTCCCCCAGAAACCAAGATATTTCTTGTCTGTTTTGCCAAAATCTGAGGCAATATAGGTAGCTTAGAGAAAATTAAATCGCTGCCAGCGAGTTGTTACCATCACCTTCTGTGCTTTTCGCATTTATTAAGCACTATTTCCATTTATCAATGTGTTCTTATCACACTTATATTTCATACCAGTAATTTCTTAAAAGATTACTTGTTTCTCCATGTATTTGAGGCTAAGGCAATGATCATAATCAGATCAGTCCCTAGATAATGGCTTTAATGAATGTGTTCAAGGAAAGCGTTCAAATTTGATAGAAAACAGCAGTTCACTCTGATTCTTATACACAAAAATGAACTTTGCTAAGTCAACAGGAACAACTGAGACATCTATGCTTGAATGTGTTCCCCTAGGCTTAATGTATTTTTCCTCACCGCATTATATTTTAATGATTAATTTCATGCTCTTTCATGGTATTTTAACTCATGAATCATGGGTATTACTTTGAGCGGAAAGGAAGGTTCTGTGAGGAGAGATTTTGTTGATTAAAATGTGCTGCACATGGAAACTGCATAAAAGCTGAAGAAGTCTGATTACCACCTTCCAGATTATAAATAATATCAGGCAAACTCGCCACACAGACTAAGGTTAGTCTGCGATGACTGGAGCAGGAAGTCTTAGGTTCTTACATGTTATTGGTCCAAACAGTCTATACATGAAATTATGTTGTACATTTAATGTTTCACTGGCATCTTTTTCCTCAGAATCCAGATAAGAATGGATTTCAAAAACAATCACGAGAGAAAAAAAAAACAGAATTAGTTAAGCTGGCAACAACATTCTGAACTTAAGTATCCCGAAAGTCAATCACCACTCCTCCTCTGACATTCTGATCTCTGCAATCAGTTCTGCTTGAATGCCATCAGTTGCTCAGTAGTTGACTTAATTCAAATTAAAAAAAAAAATGCAAAAATGGTGAAGTCAAAGCTACAAGGACCATATAGTACTAAGACCGAAATGAAAGGGACAAACACAAGTTTTACCCTGTGCACCTGTGAGTACTTCATTACATGTGTATTGATTAGTATCAATAAGTAATCTATCCACAAGAAAAACCACAACTAACCAGAAACTAACTAGATGTCCATATGATACTTCTGGCTTATGTTACCAATATGGGTTTTTTAAACCGAAGTGTAGAGTCTGGAGAAAAGAGAACATTAAGTTCCCCTAAACAGTACAAACAGAACACCTGGTCCTAAAAAGGGTGCAAAGTTTACCCAATCAATGACAGAGGCAAAAATGCAGCAAAAGCAGCAGGTGGTTTTAAACTTACTTCAATCACCAGAAGGACAGAGAAAAAGAAAAATCTGTGATTTGTAAAGCACCCGCGTGCGGGGGGAGGCACGGGCACACACGCACGCGCGCACACATACACACACACACACACACACACACACACAAATATTCGGCCAGAGCAGGAAACTCATACAAAGACAATCCCCAAACAAAACAAAACAACCCAACAAACCCGTTTCTTGGGCAGAAGTGCTGACAGTGAGTTGGGAACTCTAAGTCCCTGCAGACAAGTCAGTCCTGTTCACAGCACTCATTCAAGGACATAAGAAGCCGAAAGAAATAGTTCTGTTTCAGGTGTGCCTTATTTACAGAAAGAAAGGTTTTTTGTTTTTTGTTTTTTGTTTTTTTCCCTCAGAAATGTGTGCTAGAGGGAACCAAAAACTGTTGAGAGGAAAAGAAAACAAGATTTTATTTCTGGGTTTGTTATTCCCCCTGAGGACATTCCATGGTGAATGTTCAAGACTTTGTTCCTTCTCTCCTCTGGTCAATTATTTCATAAACAATACTCCGACCGGCGGGGCCCGCTGCAGCCGACTCGGGTCTCCTCCCACGACTCCACTCCACACCCCACCTTTGCAAACGGCAGGGTTCAGCTCCAGGACTGGGGGCAGCGGGCAGGTGGACAAGTGGGTGGCTACTGGGCGCCCTATCCCCTGGAGTGCACCGCTCCGCAACTCGGGCGCTCTGGAGTCGCTGCCCCTCTGGGAAGAGCGAATCAGGCTTCCTCCAGAAGCGTCCCGTGGAAGGGGCACCCCTGTGGTCGCGGGTGGTCCTCAGGCTCTGTCCCCGCCTGTCCGCGCGGGGCTCGGCTCCGCGCTCCTCTCCCTGCTCCGCGGGTCTCCAGCAGGGGTAAAGTTTCCCGCGTCTCCCACTCTTCCCCCCGGAGCCGCGGCCCCCGGCAATGGCCAGCTGGGGCTCCCCGCCCGCCCCGGGCCAGCCGGCGCGCAGCCTGTACCTCGATGTCCGCCGCGTCCTTGCTAAGCACCCGGGCCATGGCAGTGCCTACAGTCGGAGACCCTCCCTCGTCCTCGGGCTCCAGTCAGAGACGGAAGTGACAGCGCGGCTGAGCGCAAGTGGAAATAGGAGAGTCGGGCCCGCAGCGCGGCGCGGGGCGGGACGGCGACGCCCCCGGGGCGGGGCTGCGCTCGGTCCTGCGGCTCCGGGCGCCTGGCAAAGCTGCCCTGGCCGCCCGGCTTCGTTGGCCGCGCGCCCGCGGTCCCGGCGGGAGGAAGGGCAGGCGCGCTGGCCTCTGCTCTCCCCACTCGGAGAGGCCGAGTTGGGCAGGCGCGGGCCAGGTACCGGGCTCTTCTGGAGACTAAGCGACGGCACTCTGCGCTCCAGGTCTCAGGCTGCCCTGGTCCTTTCTTCTGCAGGAACCTCCACAGGGACGGAAACAGTGTCTCCGGGCAACAGCATCTTCAGGAACTCCCCGGGGCTGAGGTGGTGACTCCCCCTCCACCCACCCTACAAGGAAGCGGGCCGCCGAGGAGGGCGCGTGAGTCGGGTCGGCTCTGAGGTGCCAGTCTCTCGGGGGCGCGGGGGCGAGGCGAGGGAAAACAGCCCCCGCCAGCAGCCGCGGGATTAAGTGTGTCTGGGGGTGCCTAGCCAAGGTTGCACTTTTGCAGAAGAATCCATTCTGCTGGCTATTTTTAAAAAGTATGCGTATTACTGTAAAATGGGAAGCACTTTTGAAGATCGATTCTTTATGTTTCCCTACTAAGCTTGCTAGAGAGAAGGGGGCAAATTCATTTAGAGGTGGTTCCACTCCAAAAAATATTCCACTCTTCTTTTCTCCCCTGGCTAGAAGCATCCCCGTCTCTTATAAAACTTTCTACTTGATTCTATTACAGTATGTATGGCACTTGCTAAATCCTCCTGGCTAGATTGTGACCAGCTTGGAATCAGGTATTATCCCCTTGTATCATGTTTTTGTTCGTTCACCCATCACCTTCATCAACAAATCTTTGTTCGCATCATCAAGGCGCAGGCCAGTGCCAGGTTTGCTGACAATAGTCGTGCAGAAGACGCCTCACTCTCATGGAGATCCTACTTAAAGTGAGAAATATGTTGATGTCAGCTTGGCGAATAAGAGGAATGGATCAGAATAACTTGGATGTGGGTACCTTGAGTGGTTGAGAAGGCTGTCTCTGAACAAGTCATCAGATCACTTTCCAGAGGCAGGAACTTACTATGGGACAGAAACTTTTTTTAAAGATTGATTTATTTATTTGAAAGACAGAGTCACAAACAGAAAGAGGGAGAGACAGTGAGAAAGGCCTTCCATCCTCTGGTTCACTCTCCAAATGGCCCCAATGGCTTGAGATGGGCCAATCCAAAGCCAGGAGCCAGGAGCTTCTTCTGGGTCTCTCATGTGGGTACAGGGACCCAAGCACTTGGGTCATCTTCCATTGCCTTCCCAGGCACATTAACAGTAAGCTGAATGGGAAGTGGGGCAGCTGGGACGGGAACCTGTGCCCCAATGGATGCCTGCATCCCAGCCAGCAGCTTAACCTGCTGTACCACTGCATTAGCCTCAACATTTTTCTTGAATCAAATGTTGTTAATTAAACCAGAACGTTGAATAGGAACCTAGGAATAATCTTTTACTCCCTTTCGCTCACTCCATCATTTAAAGCATCCCAAAGCTATAAAAATTCAACCTCCTAAATAGATCTTGGATCATTCATTTCTCCATCTTCACACATCAAACATGGTCCATTCACCCACCATGGTCCAGGCTACTCTTGCCACAGAGTCTACTCTTACCTGCTGTGTACTCCGGGCTGAGTTTTAAACTATTAATTCAGCCACACCAAACACACAGTATACATCTTTGAAAGGCCCAGTGAGGTCAATATAATACAAACCCCCTGTTGACCTCTGAATGACTTGACTTCGCCTCCTCTCCAACCTCACCTAGGGCCACTCTTGCCTTGACTCATTATGTTCCAACCACAAAGCAACATTTTCTCTGCTTGTTCCCCCTTCTAGGTCTCAGAGAAGCCTTCACTGACCCATCTCCACCACCAATAAAATTAGACCCATTGCAGTCTCTGTCAATCTGACTCATAACACCCTATTTACAGTGAGAAACCTATCAGATGTTGTTTCCATTATATCACTGTGACTTCTGTCTTCTGCTCCAAGAAGAGCAGGCCCAATGATGTAATGGTCTAGTCCAGGACAGAACCATGAAAGACAAGAATACTTGGGGATAGGATTAACAGAGTAGACCCTCAGCCTGTTTCATGCACTAAACAGTACATTTTAGAAACCTTTCACTTCACAATGACTTCTCAGCATTCCATATGTTGCTGGTATATAAATCACCATGTCTATCAATGGGTTTCTAGTAAAAATGTGTCAAGTTAACCACTTTCCTTTTCATGGAATCATGTTCCAGAGTCAGTTGTTCCTCATCTCCCAACAGCCATAATTTACCTGCCTGCAGGCCATCTATATCCTCTTGGGGATAAATATTAAAAATATACAAGCAGAGATATATAAATAAATAAATTATAAATAAATTTTGAATTTTATATTTGGTTTTTGACTGTAACCAGTAAAAATTTGGAATCCATACATAGTTTATTTTCATAATATACATTACCTGTGAACTTTTTGCACAGATTTCAAAACTTTTTTGCACCAAAATAAATTTATTTTAATTCCATTTCCCTGAACTTTTTGAAATACCATTATGTATATATATACCCACACAAATACATATAAATGCATGAAACCTTCATACATGCACATATGCATAGACAGATTAGGTATAAAGTTACATATATATATACAATGTATGAATAATATGACATCTATGTAAGTCCATACATATGATTCCTTTGCCAGTTCAGTAAGGTTCAACTTTGAATATCCTAACCTCCAGGGATGTAGACATGTGCTCTTTAAATTATGCTTTAACACAAATAGGAATAATTACTAATCAATAGTTTGTTTTATGGGTACAAGTATTCAAGTTACCCTTAATTGTTAGATACTGTGTTTCCATACTTGTTTTTCTATTTCCATATAGTTCTCCTAAACCACCCCAGAGGATCATTCCAAAATATGCTACCTTAAAAAAACAAGAGCTTCGTGAGCACCAGTCAGCTACCAAACATGAAATTTAAACGCTATGTTAGCATCACCTCAACTTCACCAAGCAGATGTATTCTGTTCTGAAATACTTAATTAAGGTATTTAATCACATTGCTCACATGCCACACCTATGCTCTGTGATTGGTGATTGAATCTAATAATGTATTAAATTCATTGAAATTCCACACTAAACACATTTGTACCTGTAAATAATCCAAGCTGTTTAAAGCTTACTGCAAATGCATTCACACCACACTTTTTTAAAAGTTGTAAATTATGATGGCATTTGTCAAGCTGTCCCTCCATCTGGAAGCACAGTCAAATATCAGGTGTTCCACATTAGTTTTTTGCAGGCTTTGAAGAGACAGCTCATCTTTCAACCTAATGTTTACAGTACATGAATGAATAGTATTATTATTACCATAGTCAGGAGCCAGGCTTATGAGTCATCTTTAAGTTCACTTCCAAAATTTATCAAAAATCACAAATTTAGAAATAATAAAATTCTGATACCTTTACACCTTCTCATCTGCCCTGTAGTCTAGCATTAAGTTAAAAAAAAAATTAGACACTCTTTTATAGATGTTTCTTTCAAAAAGTCAGATACTTTGATTAATCATGAAACACATTTTCCCCTCTGTCTGATTTTCTAAGACCAAGTTAATTCCTATCCAAACTGACAAGGAAGATGATAACTAAATGTCACTGAGTCCAGATATTTCCAACTTTTTTACTCAAAGGTCACAAGATATATATTGTTTCATATTTTATAGAACAAACTAGGTATAATTTACTCAACTGCTTTATACTATATATCTTATATATGTATCAATGAATCTACTACTTATAAGTGCACCAGTATATTATATAAATACTGTGAAAAACACAGGCAACAGAGAAACCACAAATACTCAGGAATTTATTTGACAATTATTTATTGAATGCTATTGTTTCAGGCATCATTATAGACATTAGTGAAACCTCATTGAACAGTAAAGATATTGTCCCTGTTATCACAAACCTTCAGCCACTAATTCAAAAACACACATTTACCTTACCCTTTCATGGTTTTGAGCAAATGGTTGATCTGAATGGGGTTATTGTGAGAATCAAAATATCAAAATGTAAGAAGCAGTATTTTGTTGATTGCAAAGTGCATTATAATGTAAGTTAAATGTTTACAAAACTAAAGAGGAAATTATCCAACACTTGCATTCTGGAATAATATCATTGGTGCATGATTGTCTATGAACTTTTTAAAGTAAACAGCAGTGAATGTGAAGTATGTAGTTTTTGTTTGCTTGCTTCTGGTTTTGATATGCATTTAACTTTTTTAATTTTTGTAATGTAAAGAGAGCAGATTTCATGTATTTCATAGGTACAATTCTAAGAAGATAACCATACTCCCCCCCCCACTCCCTCCCTCAATCCACCTCCTTCCTTCCTTTCTTTTATTTTAATTTTTCATCTGACTTAAAGTTGAGGGAAAAATCTTCTAGAATAAGTGTTCCCTCAAAGGACTTCCCTCACTGCTTAGAGCCCTGTTCCTTGGGCTTGGTTTTCTTTTTCCTCACTATAAAAAGTTACCATAATTCCAGTAACTGGCATTTGAAGTAAATTTTTTTTTTGCTGGAATGTTGCTGTTTCATAATTTCAAGAATGGAAATAGAATCTTGATGTAAAGTATTCACTGTTCCTGTCGGTCACCTGTAGTGGATGCTGTCTCATGCCTCACCTATCCACACCTATTCCTCAACCCATTGAAGACTAAGGCACTCATCCCATCGCTACTGGGAATGTTCATGGTTGACAGCTCTCTGCTGAGTTCCTCTGTGGAAATTGCCCTCCGTTAATGAGTACCCACCTTCCATGCCCTTTCCAGGGTAGCAGATATCCAGTAACTATCTGATGCAGGGATATTAAGGCCTGGTCCTCTCCCCTAATTCAAGACGTCATTGAGGAGCCATCCCAACTTTAAGATGACCTAGGGGATCACCTAAGCTGTCTGGTACTTCAGC